ACATGCCAAATCATGCTTTAAAAAAAGAAAACAGTGGTATGGAGAAATTTGAGAAAACGGGCTTACCAAACATTATTGAGGAAGTGCGCTGCATGCTTTTTTGTAATACATGAAATTGATAGTTTAGGATGTGGAAGAAAGAACTGCGGAACAGAAAATGTGCGCTGCGTCCCACTAGCTACACGGTATGCGCTGCCCCATATACTCCTTATAAAGTTAGGCGAAAAAAAGCACCGGCCACTGCGGAAAGGAAGCGTGCATTGGCCACAGTGATGGCTGTTGGAGAAATATTGCCAAAAGTACGGACTTTGCTGGCAACAGAAGAAGGCGAGTTGGAAATTGACGAAGATGAACACGGTGTGTTACCCGTATTTTTAATAAAGAACTGATAAGATGGCCAGGCCCGAGCTGTCTTATTATTGAAAAGCTGCACAGCTGATAAACTTTGATAGGCCTTGATATACTGCGCTCACTGGCCGTAATTATTGCCCGCTGCTCCAAAAAAAGAGGCTAGCCGAGCTTTGAGACCTTCCGATTGGTGATTTTTGCTGAAAATGATTTTCAGAACACTGGATTTTTGTATAACTTATTCTACTAAAGTATTTCTAATAGTTCAATTCAATTTTGAGTGCTTTCAGCTATGTTTGAATGTATTTTTTTTAGGCAATTACTCGATTCAGGGCGAGCCCTTGTCCTTTAATACGTGGGCTGTAATCCATCAGCCGGCGCAAGCGACATCCGAGGAACAGTCAGTCACTGGTGGAAATCTAGCCAAACTGAGGTGCGTACCAGTACATTTATACAGTTTTTGTGTTCGCATGAAATCTACATGGCTTTGGCTGATTTTGAGTGTTTGCTTCTGTTACACATTAGCTGAGCTAGTGTAGATTTACTTTACACTGATCTTTCGAACGCACAAATCAAATTTAATACGGTAATAAGAGCTAAAGGAGGAGAGGAGGGTACGAAGGGGCGGGGAAAGAGGAGGGAAGCGAGAGAAGGTTGAACGAGGGGGAGAAGGACGGGAAAAAGCGAGAATATGAGAGTGCAGCTTGCTGGTGTTTGTGTGTGCCGGTTCTTCTTTGTTCGGTATTCAGTGTAACTTGTCGCATTCTGAATCAGAGCTATTTTCGCGTATGTCTCAGTTTTTAAATTTACTAGTTCAGCTTAATCACTTCTCGAGTGATTCTGCACAGCAATGAAAACTTGAACATCCAGAAAAAGGCATTAAAACAGAGTTTCAAGTTTTTGCATGCTTTTTTCCCAAATTAATTTAATTCCTAACAAGAAATCAGCGTGAAATTTACACACAAGCAGTACACCATCATTTTTCACAGCGTTCAAGGAGAGGGGAATGGCATGTAGCATCCAGATCGTGAACTAACAGCTCTTCCAGGCATATGTATAAAGACTCTGTCTGGAATGTTTCGTATTTCAGAAATAAATTGAGAAAGGAATCTTGGCAGCAGAAAGCGGGTGAAGAAAAGAGGAGGAAAGTGGAGGAGACGAGCAACGAGGGTGAAACTGAAAAGGATGACAGTGCGATTCTCGAAACCAGTGGTGGGACAGAGGCCGAGAGTCTCGACACCAGTAGAGAGGTTTGCACTGCACCATCATTTATGTTTGTGAAGACGGTGCATATACCGAAGGGCAATTGGTCTTTTTTTTTGCTCCATATGTCTTACATAGCCCTAATCTCCGAAACCTTCCAGTATCTGATTATTGTTTGCATTTTTAATGGTTGTTTTTTTCAGTTGGAAGAGGGAGAAATGTTTTCGGATACTTCCTCATCTTCGGCTTCTTCGTCATCATTTGAGGATGAAGACGACGACCAGTCAGCTTACAGTGGTCGTCGGCGAGGACACCGAGAGCGCGGAAAGTAAATTTTTTGCTTTTTTGAGATTCGGTTTTGAGGAGACCACTAGAGCTTAATTGCTTTGCAAAGCATCTGTGCACTGGTTTTAGTAAATGGTTTCCCATTACAAACTATATTTGCTCAGTAACGTAACTGATAAATGGAGAGAATGCAGAAGTCCTTTATGTTTGCTGATTGCCGATTTCAAGAACCCCCTCCTGCCAGCAGAACTCATTAATTTATTGCGAGCTGCATTAGATCAATGGATTGGTTCAGCTCATATCCAAGTTTTCGAAGGTTGCAAAGAAGATGGGAAGCCGGTTTATTGAGGGCACGTACACAATGTTGATAGGAAATGGGAAAAGCCGCTGATACGGAGAAAAGATCCGCTTAAACATGTATTTCAAATTATTTTAGTGAGAGAAGCTCAAAATAGATAAAACTGGGGAAATTGCCAGCAGCACCAATGTCGAAATGAGACTCTGCCATGGAAGAGGAGCGGTTGATTGATGATGTAAAAGACAGTCTTTTCAAAACTAAAACAGTTGCTACTTTGTTTTGAAAACTATCCATTTTGTAAGCGATGATCTGGCTGTAAATGAATCTCCGCATTTACGGGGTTTTTTTTTTTTCCTGGTCGAAGCGCCGATGAAATTATGTTCCTTTTTACTGACGTTCTTTTTAATGCAGATGTCTGCTTGTTTCATCTCATGCCCTGAATTGCAGGAAAGCTCAGTTGAACTCGGTGCAAGCAGTGTTAGGTTCGGTTAGTCCACAGTTCACAGCGTTATTTACGCAGTTGTACGAGCAGCGGCACAAACTTTGTCAGAAGCTTTCCACTTCGCACAAACACGCGTTTGTTGTTGTACTGGGACAGGTCAGATTTTAATCATTCAATAAATGCGCAAATTGGAACCCACGACCTGTTTTTACTGTTATTCTTTTTTTCATTTGCAGGGATAATTCTTAAAATATTCTTAAAATTGGCTGCACATTTCAGATTCTTTCATCGCCACGTGGAATGACAACCGCCCAGAAGAATCAGATGAATTTGTTCATCCAGAACTTCGCCGCGCAGAATTTACCAAAATAATCGTTTTAGCAAGATTTTTGTGATTAATGGTGTGTTGCCATTTCGCAGCGGCAGCAGCAGCAGCCTTCCTTTCTCTTTTTTCATCCACTCACTTGTGCATGTGCACACTTTCCTTATTGCAACAGTGCTGTTTTTTGCATCTGGAGGAAATCTTTCTTTGGAATTACTCCTGCTTATTTTTGTGGAAAAGTTAGCCTCACCGTGGGTCATTATTTTGATGGCATTATCGATATGTATTTGTTTTGGGCAGTCGAAATTTAATTTTCCATTGGCCAGTTTTTTTAAGTAGATTTCGATGATGCCAAAAGTCGAACGTGTAATTCCTGGGAGCTTTACTTGTCAATGCTTCGGTTCTGAATGAACGTTGTTCTGTCGGTGCCGGTTGCTTTTATTTTTTTCACCTAATGGGTCAATCGTATAAGGTGAATACTATGTGAGGGTCACAACTTTCTGGTTTCGTTCAACTCATTTTTCCTGTTTGGCTCAATTCAGCTTCATTCTGGCTTAGCTGATCGGCTTCTTTCTTTGCGGAATAAATGAAACTCATGTGGGCTCTCCAGCTCCTCTCTAGTTCTACCGAGTTGCGTGTTGGGTGCAGTAAAAATTTTATTTTATTTTAATCTGATACCAGAAGTTTTCGAATTTTTTGGTGTTCATTCATTCGTTTTGTTTGTTGACCGCTGCTGGTGCGCTGTGCCTGTGGAAGGTCGCTTGTTGAGCCACTCGCATTTGCGCGTCGTCGCATTTTCGCTCGCCTGAATTTTTGGTTTTCGTCTTGCTGTTCAGCAGTTACATAAGCAGTGTTAATGAGCATAGCTTAAATTGAATCTTGTGATATATGCTGCCTAAAAAATGTGACGGTATCTTGCCGGCAGGGAGTCCCCTTCCTCACCCCTGGTCATCCATTACTTTTTGAGGATGATACCGCTTCCCTCTCTTTTGCTACATATAGCAATCTTTCGCTCAGTCTGTGGTTTTGCAGCGCAAGGCAATAGCTTGCAGTTGACGTTTATGCCCCATTTGATGTAAACTTGGATTTTTTTATCACTCAAATCGAACATTCTTCGTTCAGTCTGATAGTTTTTTGGCCGAAAAAGCGATGAGCGGTGGACACATCACTGGGTTTTTCTGTTGCTTTGCTCAGTGGGTAATGATTGAGTGTTCTACCAAACGATTATCACTTGTTCTGCCTCAGCTTCTTTTGGAAGATTTAATTCTCGACTTTTTTAAACTTCTGCTACCCGTATTTGTTCTTTTTTTTTCTTTTTTCTTATGTTGTTTGTTTAACACGCTTCATTTTCCCAGGAATCGTTTCTGGC